AGCTCAGCTTCGCACGGTTTTAACGGGTTTTAACGGGTTTGTAACAACAACGCGAGGGAACGCGCCGAAATGCTTGGCTTTTGCTCCCTGCCCCCGGAGTGGGGGGGATGGGGAGGGGGCACCTGCTTTACCGGCCCGTTTCGCGCCATTTTGCCCATTCGTCGCGCCTAAAGCCTCTAATTAAACTAACTCTGTGCATGCGTTTATTTGGTGCCACCGGATCTGGCCTCCGGCTTGGATGGAGAAGAGTGTGTTCACATGGGAAACGGGGACGGGGAAAGATAAGAGGCAGGGGGGGGGGGGTAACAATGGGGTCACCATAAAAAAGATCCATGGACTTCGAAATTAATAAATGACGGTTGCCACTAATTCACTGACCGTGGTCGGTTGATCATCTTGTAGCGGTTGTCCAGATCCTGCAGCATGAGAAGCTTGTAGGCCTGCTTCAGCTTGAGCAGCTCGTCGCCTGACTTCATCCCGGGGTCGCTGCAACCAGAGCAAAGAGAAAGGCGTTAGTTATTGTGATGGCTGCTGCCAGCGATGGCCTTACAGGTGCGTGTGTGCGGGCGCGGCGTAGCGGGGCGTGGCGGGGCGTGGCGGAGAGTGGTGGTGTGAAGGGCTGGACGTTTCACAAGACAAATACGAACAACACCGCGTTCGGCCTGCAGGGCGGGTCGGCGTGGGCAGCGGTATTGCTTCCACAGACTTTTCGTCGTTGTCGCTTGTTTAGTCCGGTTAATTCATTTACGTTGAGTCCTAATTGCGTTTGCATTTTTTAAATTTCCCGCCGCACAACGAGCTGGATGCGTGGCGTAGCGGGGTGCAAGGAGCGTGGGCAGGGCGGTACGGGGAGGGGCGTAGAGGGGCGGGGCGGGGTCGGGTGGGGCGCGCACCCCGCCGGCAGGCACCCTCCCCTGTGGTTCTTGGGGTCCCTAGGGCGTCGCACTCCAGACCCCCGTGGCTACAGATTCTACGCCAGCCTAGGACCCCCCGCCGTCCCGACAAACCGATGCTGGTAGAAAACTTATCTCAGTATCTTCCGCATTCTTTTACCTGCCCGAATCCTCCTCTCCTTATTCTGAAAATTGAAGCGACTAAATAGGTAGGAATATTTTTACTATCCTCGTTATTTTAATTTCAGTCTAAAAAAAGAGAAATCTTCCCAAGTTAGTCGTCTACATTTTCCGTATATTTTAAAACAGACCCGACGCGCTGCCTCCCGCCATGCTGCCGGGCCCGGGGCACTCTCGGCTTATCTCAAGTCCCTCCCTGCCGTGCCGCCCCCGCTCGGCCCCTGCTCGGCCCCCGCTGTGCGCCGCCCCCGCCGCCGCCCCCGCCGCCGGCCGCCCCCAGTGATAATGAAATCAAAGTCCACACAGCTGTGAGCGGTAAGGGATGAGGCTAGCGCGGGGAGGGGGAGGGGCCTCGATGATTGGCGTGCATCTGCGTGTGGAAGGGCCGGGTGGGTAGCGGGTGCGGGCACTAGAGCGGCTGCCCCGCGCGCGGCTGGGGCTAGGCTGCCCGAGAGATTAGCTGGGGGCGGCCGCCACCGCTGCCCATCGCAGCCCGCCGCCGCTGATGGAGATCCGGATGCTTTCGGTGGACAAAGCGAATGGGCGAGCTTATTAGGAGCACGGGGAACCCCCCGCAGCAGTTTTGTGCCTTCAGGTGCTTGGGTGTGCAAAGTGGAGAGCTACAGGGAAATGAGGTGAAAACGAGGTGAAAATTGTGTTCTGCTTGCGGAACCTGCTGCCGGAGTCTACAGGGGTATGGTGTGGGGGGGTTGGTCGGTGGTGCGGGTGCAAGCGGACGAAGGCGGTGAAAAAGGGTGCTGAGCCGAGCGAGTGAAAGAGAGAAGAGACGGGTGATCTAAGAAACTCACCTGAGGCCGTCGGACGGTAAGCTGTAGGTAGAGAAAACAGAACATGCGCGTTATTGATGGTGTTGACTGGCAGACGGGCGTGGACAGCTTGGCGGGGTGGGGTGGGGCGGGGTGGGGCGATACAGCGTTGCGGGCTCTTTCACACATGGCGCGGAGGGAAAGCACGTAGCGAAAAATAAAGGCTCGGGATAATGCTCAGGCAGTTGGGGGTGTGGGCCGTGGGGTGTTCAACTTTCGGTCGGAAGAGTGTGTTATTGTATATGTACAGTATAGCGTGGCTCGGCCCGCTCTCTGACAAGCTGTCCAAACTCTGCGGGGCGCGAGCAGGCCAAGCACTCAAACTAAGTTCTGCACCCGTTCACACACCTGATGCTGGGTTTGTTGCTGAGCTTAACTTGAACTTGAAATTAAACTTGAACTTTAAATGCTCAGCTCTGTCAGGAAGCGCAAGGGGAGACCGCCCGGAAGACGGCGTGAAGTGAGGCGCCTGACGTGAGACGTGGGATGTGAGGTGGACAGGCATGCCAACCAAAATCGCGAAAACATTTTAATTTTAGCGCGCCGCAGGCCAAGGTAGACGCACATTTAGCTCAGCTTCGCACGGTTTTAACGGGTTTTAACGGGTTTGTAACAACAACGCGAGGGAACGCGCCGAAATGCTTGGCTTTTGCTCCCTGCCCCCTCCCTCCCTCGCTCCCGCCCCCCTGCGCGAGGCACCCGCCACCGCGTGGGCGCGCAGGGGAGCAAGGGAGGCGCACTCACCGCTTGGAGTAGATGCGGTCCAGGTCCATGAGGGCCTTGGTCACCTGGTCCTGACTCGGGACCCGCTGCGCCAGCGCGCAGCACGCCAGGGCCGCCAACACGAAGAGCGTGCTGCACTGCATCCTGCGACACAAGCAAACAACAAGTAAATAAAACCTGCACCGAGAGCAGAGCGCTGCAAACTGATGAGCCGATTGCATTCGCGTTGTCATGCTGTACCGCATGCAGACTTGCAGTGAGATCATCCAGACAGTACGCTCATCATTCGCCGTTATGAACCGGCAAAGTTCAGAGTCAGCCGCGAGCGCAAGCCAGAGATTGTCAACGCACGGGCTGGCAGTCCGCTTGCCTGCCCGAAGCACTTTCGATCGGGCTTGGCCCGCTCGAAAGCTTTCGAGCG